TCCAGTATTTTTGCCTAGAGAATCCCATGGAAGAGAGGCCTGGTGGGCTACAGTCCAGGGGGGTTGCAAAGAGTCGGACACAACTGAGCACACACACATAAGAAGTCTGGCATCTGAACAGTGCTTAGAAGTTTCTTAGCACATATTTGTTAAATAAACTAGTGAATGGATATGCTATTACTGTTGGGGAACCACTGACTGAGATCATCCACCATGGCCAGGTACCATAGTAACCACTTGCACGAGTTATCTTACAACAGAAGGTCCTGGTAGGGACATGGAACTAACAAGTTACCACCAACTGGAAGAATTCAGGAAAGGTCAAAAGGAGAGAGATTTCAGTCCAAATGTCCCACCAGCCTCCCAGGATCCTTCTCGCTGGAATTCATCTTGATTGAGCAATCTGTGTGCCATCAGGAAGAACCCTGAGTCAGAATGATTGCCCAGAGACAACCCAGAAACTAACCCCATCACCATAATGGCAGAGAAGTTCTCCTGGTTTCCCTTACTCTATCGCTAATGGCCTGGGCACCTGTTCCCAATAAAATCTCTTGCTTTGTCAGCATGTATGTCTCCTTGGACAAGTCATTTCCAAGTGTTAAACAAGAGCCCACTCTTCGGCCCACTTTCAGGTCTCCCTTCCTGCAACATTACCATAGATCTATTTTATGAATCTCATTCTTATTTTGTTTTCATTCTTAATTCTTTCCCTCACACCTTCCTTCTTTTCTTTTTATTTCAGTTGGAAAACTGATTGATGTAAGCTTACAAATCCGCCTAACGTTTCACCAGAATTCCAGGTGGATTCCACCAAGACTAGAATTTATGACTGGTTGCTGGTTGAAGCCATGATTGCATGCAGACCAATGAGTACTTGTAAAATGACAAGTCTTAATGCAGATTTGATTGACAGTTGTGTTGACTACCAAAGGGAACTCTTATCATTCACCATTGTACTACCATGAAACTCTTGGCAACCTAAAATTCATAATGGGATGACTGGCTCAAAGCCTTGTAAACAGCATCATTAGCAGTATTGTCTTCTCCTGGATGTCCATTAATGACATAATAATTGAATAATTTTGGTAGTGTACCATCTTGGATTAATTTATATTGTTCTGGATTCACTGATAGAATGTTTTCTTTCCTCAGATGGCAAGAATGAATGTTTTATGAAAAAAAAACTTGCAAGTCAGTTAATACTAAATATTTCAAAAGCAAAATATTTCACTTCTTTGAAAGATGAAACTTGTTTTGGTTAAATATTAACTATGATACTAATTTTAACTTTGAGGTCTGTAGTTTCATTTTCATTCAACAAATACCTATTAAGTATCTACAGCAGAGAAGGCATTGTGTTATAGAAAATTGAAACAGCTTATAAAATACAATAATGTGATAAGCAGAATGGAAAACAGACCTCTAAACAAATGGATAAAAAGTATGTTATTTTGTTTCCAGAAAAGAAAAGGCTGAGGACAGATACGTTATACAAAGATTGTCTTGCTTCAGAGAGGAACAAGATCGAGGCAATATTCTATCTGATATTAAGGTATCAACATGGAAAAGCTGATTGATTCTAAGGGCAATGATTCACTAAAAATAATTGCTGTGGGAACTTGCTTCCCTACTTGAAACATTTAAAGGAACTTCCTAAATTGGTGGAAGCAATCCTGTCCATTAATGGAGAGATATGGAGGCTCAAAACCCAATGGTAAGTTTGGGAAACAAAGTCAGTTTCTTAGTCCTACTCCTATTTGTGTGAGTGTAATTGTTCCAGTTTATGACTTTACCCCATATTCCTGAGACTTCATAGATCATTCATAATGTCACATAATAGATCATTCATAATGTCACATAAAAATGACAGCAAAACATGCAATAGGCCACTGAATGCTACTTTGGTAAGACCACCCCTGAACTTGCACCTTAAGGGAGACCAGCATACTAAATGAATTGGAGAAAGCATCTAGAAGCTCGGGAAGAGAAGGCCTTGGGGAACACAGGCAGAGTCTTCAAGTAATTCCAGTTACCTGGAAGCAAACTTTGAACTAACATTCATACAGAAGACAAAAATCATATGTAAGACAGCAAAAGAGACACAGATGTAAAGAATAGACTTTTGGACTCTGTGGGAGAAGGCGAGGGTGGGATGATTTGAGAGAATAGCATTGAAACATGTATATCACCATATGTGAAATAGATGACCAGTCCAAGTTCAATGATTAAAGCAGGGCATTCAGGGCCTGTGCACTGGGACAACCCAGAGGAATGGGATGGGGAGGGAGGTGGGAGGGAGGTTTCAGAATACATGTACACCTGTGGCTGATTCATGCTGATGCATGGCAAAAACCACCACAATATTGTAAAGTAATTAACCTCCAATTAAAATGAATAAATTAAATTTTTTAAAAATAAGAGATAATGGTTGGAATTGCTAAGCAAATGACTTTTTTCTTAATAAATAGATCATCTAGTGTTGGAAACTGGTGATCTCCACATTCCTGAAATTCAAGTCTAAACTGTCAGGGAGGAGTAGATTGTGGGCAGTGCAAGAAAGATTTAACTTAACTCATGATTCTTGATAGGAGCAGTAGAGCCCCCTTGAGGGTGCTTGGAAATTTGCAGTAATGTTTTTAGCAGTCACAAAGGATCACAAAGCCACAAAGTCAATCAGACTTCTGTGGGCAGGGCTCAGAAATTCTAGATGTCTTTCTATGATCAAGAAAGTTCCGAAGAGAAAAATTGTCCCATGTCCCACATTCCACACAAACTTCTAATTTTGCGACCAGAATAAATTCATTATAAATATAATTACAAGTAATTTATCACACAATTAATATTGGAAAAAAATATCATTCTAACTGAAGTAAGTCAGGCAGAGAAAGACAAATCTTACGATATCACTTATAGGTGGAATTGAATTTAAAAATGATATAAATGAACTTATTTGAAAAACAGAAACATACTCATGGTTTTAGAAAACAAAGCTATAGTTACTGAAAGGAAAATATGAGGAAGGGGAGGGATAAGTTAGGAGCTTGGAATTAACAAACACTCTGCTATATATAAGATAAATAACCAACAAGGACCTACTGTATAGCACAGAAAAGTCTACTCAATATTCTTAATAAGCTACATGGGTAAAGAATCTGAAAAAGAATGAAAATATGTATATGTATACCTGAATCACTTAGCAGGACACCTGAAACTAACACAACAATGTTAATCCACTGTACTTCAATAAATTTTTTAAAATGATACTAAAAAACTACTCAATAATTTACTGCCCATATTGTCTATTTAGTACATCATGCCTTTTCAATTATCTATTTAATTCTAAATATTTTCAGTGAAAGAGTTCAGTTTTTATCATGGCAAATAGGAGACAAAAAAAGATTTAAAACTTAATGTTTTGTGCATTGAATTATAGAGAAATGCAACTAGTGGATAATCTGAGAAAACATTGTGCTTTGTTTTGTTTCAGATTTTCCAAGAGTTTCTAAAGCATCACTGACAGCACTACTGCTCCTGGTATTTAAGCTGCTAATAAATCACCCTGGTTCATTCTTCATTTATAGCAGTACATATGAACATAGTAATAACAGAGACTATTTGAGACTTTTATGGACAGACTCAGGTACAGAGTACAAGCTAGCAGACATCTGAAACAATGATGTCAGTAAGTTGCACTAACTATTTTGAAAATATTTTTATTGCCACTCTATATGTAAATTTATTTTTATTGAATTATACTTGATACACAATATTGCATTAGTTTTAGGTATACAATGTAATTATTCAATATTTTCATGGATCATGAAATGATTTCATGATTTCTAGTCATGTATAGACTTTATTTTCAACCATTAAAATGATGAGGTCTCAGCTGTAAAAATTGCATATTGATATGCATTTATTTTGGGGTTATCATCCTTAAACTGACACTGCCCAAGAAGTCTACCACCCAACTTTTTGCCAATATGTTCTCTTTTGCAATTATAGGATATCATCTCTGAGGTCCCTTTAAGTACCAGAAACTAAATATTTTAACACATGATATTGTTGAATGTAGAAGATGTGTTTTGCATTACATAGTGTCACTTCCCAGTTGCTTTTCATAATATAATTATTTTAACACCACGCAATCAGTTCCAGCTCATTTGTAAGAATATACTTTCCTCATTTTCCCTTACAGGTCATCATTTTTCTTAGCATGTTATCCTCACTCTAACCAACATTATTTTCCACTTTCTTTCACCATAAGCAAATATATCTACTCTCTTAATATTTCCCCTAACTTTAGTTTCTATTCTAGGGCCTAACTGCACTTAAGTTTGATAGTTACTTTTACTTAATAGTAATAAATGAGTTATTATGAATTTGTTCATCCTTTATTTTTATCCTTCTTGTATGGAAGAACTACAGCTCCTGTTACTTCTTACAAACTCATATTTATTCATTTTCATTGTAGGTAGTCATCAGGTAGTCCCATTATGACTTTTAGAAGACTGAAAAGCTGTACCTGAAGACCTACATAGGGAATCCATGTTATTTTTTTTAAATAAATTATTGTCCTTTTATCTTGATTTTATTTTAGAATTAGGATGATACATCAAATTTGAAAATCAATATGTGGACTATTTTATCTACGAAGTTCAGCTTTACTTAATGTAAAAGGAAAATAGTATCCGATAGGGTTGAGAATATCGCACTAGATAATAGCTAAGGTCCTTCCATCTGTAAAATCCTAAGAGTCTGTGGTTCTTCTAATCTTACTACGAACAATGGACTCCCTTCTCCCAATACAGTAGACACTGTCCTCAACAGTACATGTTGAATGTACTTTTTTGATAGTGTAAAGTCTTTTTTGCATTTATAAAAGGCACTGAACCAGCTTTTTCCATTTCTTTGAATTGAGAAGACCATGCTAAACCAAGGGATACAAACACTAGTCCTCCAGCATGATTATTTGCACACACACACCAGTGTTCTCTTACCTAGTTTGACAAGACGGAGCATGGAGGTGTTACTTCCTCTCTCTGTGCAAGCAGTTACCGAGAGATTGTAGATATCTCCAGGAGGCAGGCTGAGAACTGCAGTCATGACATTGCGCGTTACCTGCAAGATCACCAAAATCAAGCTGTAGGGCTATCACAGACATCCCATCTCTGTTCTGTGCTGCAGTCTACAGCTGATTGAACCTTATGGATATGCTCTTTCCTCTGAAAATGATACAAATTCCTCAACTGAGCCAAATACAAGGTAGCTCTAAATAAGCACAACACAGATCAGAACACTTTTTGTGATTAATTCCTTTGTTTGGAGTAGGTATTACTATGATTTTTTTTTTGACCCTCTTGCATTCACAGCAAATTTTAGAAAAAGCAATTGCTGGGTTGCAAAAATAGGAACATTGCTCAGCCCACACTGAGAAGCTCAAAAGAAACTTAGCCATATCCACAGACACCTGGCCTCTTAACTAAAGACTACATTTCCCAGTTTCTAATATTGATAGTGGGGACCATATGACTCAATTCCAACCAATGGATTGTAAGAGGAAGTCCCATGGCCAACTTAGAGTTTTGTTCACACCCGTTAAGTGCTGGACCTCCACATCATCTCTTTTTCCCTTCCTGTGGGCTGGAATGTGGCTGTAACAGTGAGTGGAGTTAACCTATGCAGGTGATGACTATATGCAGTGGCAGATGGAGCAGCAAAATAGAACAGATCTGGACTCTTGAATAATCTCTCATAGCAGAAGTGCCCTTTTAGTCCCGGGCACCTTGAGAAAGATATAGATGTTGATATTTTTTAAACCACAATCTTAAAAAATTTTTCATTTCAATTGTTTAGTTGGCACCCTAACTAATACAATGTCAACAAGCGTAATAAACCAGGAGAGAAATCAATACTTCCAAAGTCTCCAAATATTGAGGGTGTTAGGGACATACGGAGAAAAAAGTGAAAATACTGTGATTTTCTTGAAAATGTTTGGTACTATGAAGAAAAAGTTCAAATCGTAACTTTAAATATAGGGGAAATCAATTACAACAATTACAACTATTAAAAGTTAAAAGGTAAGCTCTGTGAAAGAAGGCCTTCAATTTTTGTTCACTATCCTATCTCCAGAGAGGCTTCTCAGGTGGTGCTCATGGTAAAAAAAAACAAAAAACAAAACCTGCCTGCCAATACAGGAGACTCAAGAGAGAGCGGATTCTAAGATACCCTAGAGCAGGAAATGGCAACCCACTCCAGTAATCTTGCCTGGAAAATTCCATGGACAGAGGAGCTGGGCGGGCTACAGTCTTTGGGGTTGCAAGAGTTGGACACAACTGAGCATGCACATCTGCACGTGTGCATGCACACACGCACACACACACACACACACACAATCCCCAGAACCATAAACAGTGCTAACTGGTGTGCAAACACTTGTTTAATGTCTCAGTAAATGTTTGCTTCATGATTTTCAATAGTATATACAAATAAAGGTCAGGTGTCCAATACTGGGACTCAAAGAAACATACACTCTTTTTAATTTTCTTCTTTCCTTCTGCAACAACCATCCAGTGGAGCATCCTAGAATGGGAGAGGTCTGTGGTGTCATCCCCGTAGGTCCAACTGATGTAGAGCAGACTGTTGAAATATTCCACAGACGTGATCTCTGGAGCAACTGGTGCTAAAATGGAGGGAAGAAACACACTGTAATTTAGTAGACTACTGGTAATTAAAGAACTTATCAATAGAATGTGAAATCCCGTACAGAGCCTGTGCTCAGTTATTCAGTCGTGTCCAACTCTTTGTGACTCTAGGGACTGCAGCCCGCCAGGCTCCTCCATCTATGGGGATTCTCCAGGCAATGATACTAAAGTGGGTTGCCATGCCCTCCTCCAGGGGATCTTCCCAGAGGGATCCCCAGAGGGATCAAATCCAGGTCTCCCATATAATAAGCAGATTCTTTACCGTCCAAGCCAGGGAAACCCAACTCTATACAGAGTTTAAAGAATTAAAATTCACACCCCATGATGGACTTCCCAAGTGGCACTAGTGGTAAAGATCCACTGCCTATGCAGGAGACATAAGAGATGGCAGTTTGATTCCTAGGGCAGGAAGGTCTTCTGGAGGAGGTCATAGCAACCCACGCCAGTATTCTTGCCTGAAGAATCCCATAGACAGAGGAACTAGGCAGGCTACAGTCCATAGCATTGCAAAGAGTTAGAACACAACTGAAGTGGCTTAGCATGCATGCACAACAGCATGCATGATAGTCCTAGGGACTCATGGACATGTCTGTAATATAGTGAAGTTGGGTGGTATGAGGTGGGCAGTTGTTCTGTGGGATGTTACCTTGCGTGGCTCAGACCCAAGACAGCCAGACTCAACTATGCCTGAGGAGAACATGCTTCTTTACAAAAATTTCAGTTATAAGATTACTAAAACATTAACTTGTTTGGGTCAGCTGTTCAGTTAATTTGTTGCTGTGTCAATAAATTAATATTTTTAGGCACTGGCGAACTCATTTTCCAAGCAGTACTGAAAACTCTGGGGTCCTGTAAAAATAAATCTTTTTTATTGTGGCAGCAAAGAAGTTTACAGGATTGACAGTAGGATCAATGAATAAAGGAACAGAAAAATAAATAATATGTCCATACGATAACAAGTCGATGGCATTGACAGGGTGCAGCCTGGTGTTTTGTGGGAGGTAGGGCTCTAAATAAACTTGCTGAAGCTAGTATTAAAGAAAGGAAGGAAGGGATTTTGAAAATCATGCTTCAAAGCTAAATTCTAACACCAAGTTTATTAATTTATTTTATAATCTTACACATTTAAATTTTTAAGAATTCCAGTTGGGGGTGAGAGTTCATCACAAGCTTTGTAATACATAAGTTCTGAAAGCATACTTTAATTATTTTTAAGAGTAACTGATAATTGTGAAGATTTCAACAAACACATACACAGTTGAATTTAAATTCCATGTGATCTTGAAGATAGCCAAGCAAGTGTTCTTTGCAAGATTCGGCCCCAAATCAACTAATGGTTGGGGGAGAATTTATACACATCAAAAAGACTTATTTTGGGGCTTCCCTGGTGGCTCAATGGTGAAGAATCCACCTGCCAATGCAGGAAACATGAGTTTGATCCCCGGTCCAGGAAGATCCCACATGCTGGGGAGCAATTAAGCCCATGCACCTAGAACATGTGATCCACAAGTGAGGCCACTGCAGTAAGCCCACACACTGCAATGAAGAATAGCCTCACTCACTGAAACTAAGAAAGCCTGCAAGCAGCAGCAGAGACCCAGGACAGCCAAAAATAAACAAATAAAATCATACATTGTAATTGAAAAAAAAGACTTATTTTTTTCAACAGGCACTGATACAGATAATGAATATTCATATCTGTGTTTCAGAAATAATTATCCCCTGAAGAGATTTTAACAGAGTAAAAAATATATTTGTTTCATGTTGTGTATGAATAGCATTTCTATACAATGAAAATTTTAAGTTGTCAACAATATCTATAACAAGTAGCACAAACCCATATCATAGTGCAGAAAATTTTAATAAAGCATAATAACCCTGACTTCTTAACATATTTCTACATACTTCATTATTTACAAGTACCTATTCTTATGCTTCTTCAAAGGGTATATTCTTATGTTCTAATTTGATGAAGACAAGAAACATATTTAAAATTACAGGGAATTTGGGATGGACATGTACACAGTGCTATTCTTAAAATAGACAACCGACAAGGACCTGCTGTATAGAACATGAAACTCTGCTCAATGTTATGTAGCAGCCTGGAAAGGAGGGTAGTTTGGGTGGAGCATGGATATATGTACAAGTATGGCTGAGTTCCTTTGCTTTTCACTTGAAACTATCACAACATTGTTAACTGGCTATATTCCAATACAAAATAGTTAAAAAAATAAAATTACAAAGCCATAAGTATACATCTCCCCATTACAAGTACCAAGTCATCAGATCATTCTCCTTCATGTCGTTGCTTTCAAATCCAGTGTATTGCTGAAAGACCACCAGATGTCACTATTTGTTTATTACACATTACTTGGTACACTAGTATAATTATGAACTTGACTTGCAGACAAGTTGCCTGACAGATTGTAGACTTGAGGGCCTAACAAGTCAGACCTTATTCAAGTATTTTAATCCTATTTCCTTTTATACTACACAATTTGTCAATTTGGATTACGATTAAAATGCATATGAACATGAAGTATCAGATCTTTATTTGCTTTAAAATTGAAATGAGGGAAGAAAGCTCCCCTTGCTGCTAAAAAGGCTAAAATTTCAAATAGTTTTAGATAAAGTTATAAAAATAAAGCTCAGGTACCATATATGTTTTAATAACAATTTAGATTAAATGATTTAATTCTCACACTACCCTGTGAGGTATTATTATGCCCATTTAAAAATTATTTATTTGACCGCCTTGGGTCTCAATTGCAGCATGTGGGATCTTCGATCTCCATTGCAGCACACAGGATCTTTCGTTGGGGCATGTGGGATCTCGTTCCCTGACCAGGGATGCAACCTGAATTCCCTGGATTGGGAACAAAGGAGTCTTAGTCATTGGACCATGAGGGAAGTCCCTATGACCATTTTATAGATATGGAAACTGAGGCCATCTGTGTCAATATGCTCAGGTAAGACTGTGGACTGCCAGTGTCAGCATGACTTAGCAGTTGAGCCCAGGAAAAAATCAGAAATTCCCAAAGATCAATTCACTGGAGACAACAGCTAGGCAAGTAGCTTGCTTACTAACCAAAGTTTATGTATGCAGACTTGCTTTGTCCACCTAAACAGTTATCTCATGACCTCTGCCTATTCCCAGGTGGTTCCCAGCTTTCAAAGGCACACCTAAAACACTTGGGTCCAGAACTCCAAATCCTATTAATACTTCATATCTGATGTCACCACAGAGACCCTATCCAGGTAGTCTCCAGACACTGCAGTGAGTTCTAAGACAATTAGTTTTGTCCAATTAGCCACCTGTTAGGCAATGTTTTCAGTCTTACCAGTGAGAAAATAGAAATTCCGGGTCCTTAAGTTAATTTGTTCAAAGTTCTATAGCTGGAAATTAGCAAGGTCAGATCTGCTCAATAAGTGATCAGATGTGAAGTCTGGGCTTTTCCTAGACAGCTGCTCCTTCTGACAAGGAAAAAGCATTCTCAGACCACTCATCTCTATTATGTTAAGTATATGAATTACTGACACAGTGAAGTTTAATTATAATTAAGTATGTGATTATTAATGCAGTCAAAAAGCCTAACACAGGGCTTGTCAAATAATTGGCATTTTCTCTTTTTATGGTGGCCTTTCACTTTTCCACTTTGATATTACCATTAACATCTGGAACAAAGGAAGTACCAGACATCAGCCAGTAAAGAAAAGCAGTGAACTGTGTAAGTTAACTGCATAAGAATCCACAAGATTACTATCTTTCCAGTGTTTTTTAATTGATACATCTCAAGCCTATAAAACTAGCTGTCCAGTGAGGGAAATATTTTGACAAAGTTTTTCTTCATCTAAACAATATTTTTCTTTTCTCAGTATAACTCTAATGACAGCTTTGCAGTCCCATCAAAAGTTCTTGAACAATCTTAGTTCAGACAAGGAGAGTTACTGTTCTTGGCTGAATTTCTTCTATATTGCTACCTCCGCCCACTTCTGCTCTCTCTGCCATGTGATAGTGAACTATTAATACATAATTTAAGGTTCTGAGGATCCGTCACTAATAATATTGTAAGTCCTTTAAGTCTGGGCCATGTATTTTGCTAAATAGCTTATTTAATTGGGACATAATAATACATAATAGTAACAGATAATAGATACTATTATTATCCTTATTTTACAACTGAAAACCTGAGGCTTAGAAAAATTGCTGGAGTTTACAGGTAGAAGGCACCAAAGTTGTGACTCACACCCAAGTCTACAAGTCTGCAAGCCTGTTTTAATTCCTGCCATGGACAATACCGCAGTCAGCCTGTGACTTTACAAATGGCTTAATTAATAAGGAAATGGAGGCACTCTAGCAAATACAATTATCAAACGGATAAAATCAATTGAGGGTGGTGTGAAGTTGAAAGCTCTGCCTGTTACATCTCGATCCTAATCAATTCCAAACAGTGGTGCATAAATCAAGGGCAGTGACTCAGGATAAAAAGAAATCAAGGACAGTAACTCAAAGTAAAAATTGTATCTTAATTTTTAAAGGCTAGCATTTAAACAAATCATGAACTTTCAGAATCATGTATATCATATTCCATGAAAGTGATGTTCATTCGGTCCTGGGTAAAGGCCTGGCATTTTCTGGAGATGAGCCCCTTCAGAACTTCCTCAAAATAGGGATCTGTTCTCATGGGAGCACTTCCCACACACTCACCTGTTATGAAGCTTATAGTGGAGCTGTCACAGCAGCTGAGTTCCGGGTCTCCCCATGTTACCATGGTAACGCGAAAGTTGTAGTACCATGCTGGCAACAGATTTGCTATCCTCTAAAAAAAGCAAGAAGAAAAAGACCCAGAAGGAAAATCATATTTTTGGAATAGAGTTATATATTTCTCTTAGGCTATGAAAAAATGAGTAATTTTTAATTTCCTTTCTGTGCCTTTGGGAGGCCTCCCTGTGGCTCAGTGGTAAAGAGTCCGTCTGTCAATGCAGGAAACGTGGCTTCAATCCCTGGGTTGGGAAGATCCTCTGGAGAAGGAAATGGCAATCCATTCCAGCATTGCTGCCTGGGAAGATCCCATGGACAGAGGAACCTGACTGTCTACAGTTGATTTTGTACTTCTCACATTTTCCATTAAAATATTCTCTTTGGAATGAAGTGAGATATAAATAAAATGATACACGTAAATTTAACATAATTTAAAAAATTATTCAAAAATACAGATAGTTTGAGAATGGGTTTTCATTTGCAGTTTCTTAAATTACACAAGTGAACTGGTACTTATTTGTAAGTGACTAGATGGACACATCTTCCTATTTCTAAGATGTGATCGTTCACAATTCTGCATTCTTTCATCTTGGACTGTTAGCATGTGTCCATACTGGGTGGCAATCATGAGAGTTGTCAAGTAAGTAGTGGACAGTTGTTTGCTTTCTGTGTGACTTGTAGATAACCTGTACTTCTAAAATTATTCCAGTCTCAGAAAGAGTAATCTTTACCTGTTCATTTGAAGAACATCGCTAATGGTCTGACATTGCAGGTATCTAACTGATTTGTTGATGTTAAGAATAGTCATCACTCAAGTTAAGCAGTGTCCACTCACTACTGAATAACTAAAGGAAAACGTGTTTTCTGACTTAGGAGCAGAAAGAAACAATAAGCATGTGATGTGCTTAGTCGCTCAGTCATGTCCAACCCTTTGTGACCCCATGGACTATAGCCCACCAGGCTCCTCTGTCCATGGGGATTCTCCCGGCAAAGAATACTGGAGTGGGTTGCCATGCCCTCCTCCAGGGGATCTTCCCCACCCAGGGATCCAACACAGGTCTCCCACATTGCAGGCAGACTCTTTACCAGCTGAGTCACCAAGAAAGCAAGCATGTGACAGGTCTACTAAATTGGGGATTAGCAAATACACTCAATTAAGAGTGAAAGCCAGTTTCACACAGTTGTCTCTCTCTTTTAAAATACAAAAATAAAATTAAGAGCTAAAACAATCCCAAACTTGAAAGTAGCACGTTACCTGTATGTGTTTACAAATGATCTAGTTTACAGACATAATAATTTTTTCAGACACATTTGGTACGTGAACACATGTTGATACAGGAAAATGTGACAGCTGGTTAAGGAAAATTACCACTGAGGCAGTTAAGGAGACAGTTGCGGCTATTTCATAGTAGGTTGTCCATTCTGACGTCATTGTTGTAGGGTTGAAATAAAACATTTCGACCACATATTTTCTGAACACTCCTAAGTAAGGTCTAGTCCAGCTCAAAACCACTGCTGTAGGACCCAAGGGATAGAGCATCAAGTCTTTTATTCCAGTTGGAACTAAGAAGAAGGGAAGGGAGTGAAAAAAGAAAGTCAAGAAGTAATGTTTAATATCTTAACAATGGCTTCATATCTCTATTTACTGACTGACTAGGTATTTCACTTTTTTGATACAATCATTGAAAACTAACCATATTTGCCTGAGATTTTCTTTTTCCTAAGTAATGAATGCCAAGGATACCTACCAGGTATACAATTGTGGTCCTTAATTACTCTGAAGGTTGAATATTGGGTGAACAAGTATGGACTTCCCAAAACTGATGATAATGACTTGAACTTAGACATGGCACCCCTCCAAACAGTACTCTGATAAAGGTATTTTTCTTGTGGCTGGCAACTTACCAATAGCAAATGTCACAGGATCTGAAGGTGGTCCAATCAAAGGGCCTTTTCTTAGGTACATCACAACCTGGTATTGGGCACCAGGAACGAGATTTTCAATAATAGATTTGCTTGAGTTCACCTTTAAACCAAACACCCAATGAGATCTATTTAGAACTGGGTTTTCAGCATGTGACTCAGAGGATAACATTGTATTCAGGGACACTGCAAACTCACAAATGCCTTTGAAATTCAGAAGACTTTATTCATGCTGAGGAAGGTCAAGTTTCAACATTAGGATGATTTATAGTTTATGAGAAGGCTGAAGGGAACCCAGAACATTCAAATTCTATGGCTGGATTTAATAAGCCTTGTGAGCTGCTCTGTACCCATCAATGTCAATTGTAATTATGTACACTAGAGACACATCAACCTCTAACCAAAATCAAATCAGCAATAAACTAAGGATAGTCTGACATCCTAAATTGTAGTGTCAGCTGATTACACACAAAGATCCGTGCGGAATGTCTTTACTCTCTCAACACTTAGAAGCATAAAATACCTAATTATAGTGATGGAAATGACCTCAGAGATCATCTAGTCCAAGCTCTCATTTAGTAGATCAAGAAGGTAAAGCTAGAGAATAGCCAAGGTCACATTTGGATCAGTGTTGGGACTGGAAGCCTAGCACTGTGACCTCCACTCCATGATATGGGCCAAGCATCAAGACGCAGCAGCAAGCACTTTACAAGGCTACTGTGACAACCTGCCAAGACTGAATCAGGAAGAACAGCCAGAACAAACTGATCACTAGTAGTGAAACTGAATTTGTAATTAAAAAAAAAAAATCTCCCAGCAAGCAAAAGTCCAGGATTGGACAGTTTCACAGGGGAATTCTGCCAAATATATAAAGAAAAGTTAATACCTATCCTTCTCAAACTATTTCAAAAATTGAAGAATATAGAACATTCTCAAATTCATTGTACAAGACTCGCATTACCCTGATACCAAAACCAAGAGAGAAAATTACAGGCCAGTATCTTCGTTGACTACAGATGCAAAAATTCTCAACAAAATGTTAGCAAACTGAAGTCAACAATACATAAAATGGATCACACACCACGATCAAGTGGGATTTATTCTAGTACTGTTTTATTTCTTTAAAACACATTTTAAGTGATAAAACTAATAGTGCTCATTGTTAAAATTGATCACACTGTAGACAAGCAAATAAGATCAATCTGTAGGCTTTCTGGTCTCCTCTCACCACTTCCCACATTTTGGTGGGCAGTCTTCTAGACCTTCCTTGTACATATATCCATAAACAATTAAGTATTGAGTCATACAGATGTTATACCATAAATATTGCTCCAAACTTTTCCTTTAAACTTAACAACCACTGTAAACATGTGAACATACCTGCCAATCTAACCTTGCTTTCATTTAGAGTATCGAGAATAACACACAGAGTGTAGATTGTTTCAGGGTGATGTTAAATTTCTTTGGTTTGATAATATTTTAGGCAGTGGTTGATTCTAATTATTCAAATGACTTCCTGGAATTATAACCACTTAAATATGCTATCCTAATGAATTCATCTCAGGAAAATTACACTGCCTTAAAAAAATAAGAACCAATAATGTGTATCTATATCACATTACTAAAAAAATGAAAAGAGGGCAAATGATATTGCACTTGACTTTAGTCACAAATTATTAATATAAATACTAATTTCCCCCTACTTTAAAAATATTTACTGAGGCACCTACATTACTTCTATTCCTTCATACCTTTTTCTTTATCCTGGACCTGCTTAGGGGTGGATTGGAGGTGGGCAGGGGAAATGTGCTAAATCGCTTCAGTCGTGTCTGACTCTTTTGCAACCCTATGACCAGAGCTTCCCTGGCTCCTCTATCCATGGGATTCTCCAGGCAAGAATAGTGGAATGGGTTGTCATTTCTTACTCCAGGGGATCTTCCCAACAAAGGCATCAAGCCTGCATCTCTTACCTCTCCTCCATTGGCAGGCGGGTTCTTTACCACTAGCGCCACCTGCAAAGCCCCAAGTAGTAATACTCTACTTACTAAATAACATGTTTTATTTAGTAGAGGATTACTCCACACTCCTCCCCCAATTTTCACTCCATCTTTTCATTCCAGTACTTCCTCTCTCTCATTTCTGACTGGCTTTGTCTCCATTCCAGAGAATTCAGTCCAGCCCAATGCATTTCCATCTAGGCCCTGGTCCTATTCTTTCTCAGCTAAAGAAGTGGAAGAAAGATACACCATAGGGCATAGAAAATATAAACAAGGAGGTTAAACTAGATGAGAGTTCTTTTAAGTCTGAAATGGTCTTCTCTCTTTCTTTGGCTGAACCACATGGCTTCCAGAATTTTAGTTCCCCAACCAGGGGTTGAACCTGGGCCCTGACAGTGGAAGCTTGGAGTTCTAACCCCTGGACCACAAGGAAATTCCCCAGAAATGGTCTTATGTATATATTATGTAATCCTCTTTCCATGATATCTTTCTGTACACTTATTATACTCAGTTTCTATGGAGAATCTCTAGAACCTCTTCATCTTCCCTTGACACAAAAAATATTCAGTTAGGTCTGCATAATAATAAAAGTTAATTTCTAGCACACCTTACTATACTATGTTCCAAACATTGCATTAAGCATCAAGTCCTCTTTTCTTTATTACAGCTCTATGAGGTAGGATATGCTTCTCCTTCTATTACAGATTCAGATGGTAAGACTTAGAAAGAAAGAAACTCAGAGCTGGTAGCTGCTAAAATCAGGTCTGAAACTCAATTCTGTTTGAGTCTAGAGTCTCTGCTTTTAGTCAACACTCTTGACTAAATCAGGATGAGCGGTGAGGATGAACTTCCCCTAGTGTATCATCTGTAATGCATAAGAAAACATTCTCTCCTGGAAGTCAAATCACTTGAGATGGGGTCTCAGCTCTGATACTAATCAGTTGTGTGACTGCAGTCAGGTCCCTTCAATATTCAGCCTCTTAGCTCTATCATTTCCTCATTTGTAAAGCTAACAGACTGACTGATTGGGCTTTCTTTCTGATTTAGTCACTTAGTTATTACACACTCCTGTAAATTGTCACCAAACATGTATGGACCAAGCAGACCACATGTAAAAATAAATATACATTGGGACTTTGCTGGTGGTCTAGTGGTTAAGACTCCATGCTTCCACTGCTGGAACACAGGTTTGAGCCCTAGTTGGAGAACTAAGATCCCACATGCCATGTGTGAGGATAAAAATTTTAAAAGTTGAAAAGAGAATGGATCTAGCCTTTAAAAGATAATAAAGATAAATTTATTATCTTTCAAAGATAATAAATGTAAATTATCTTTCAAAGTTAATAAATATACATCCATATATTACATGATGCTTCTTTATTCTGAAATTCATAATTGTGTGTGAGTCTTTGGAGATTCCTTTATATGAGACTGAGCAGTGGCTTTATTATGCTCACTATATTGACATAGGCTTATTAGTGAGTAGAACTACAATGTTTGTTAGCAGGGATATATTACAAAACTCTCTTGCTCATGAATATTCACATATGAACTCACACAAAACTGCCACCAGACATGAAGTACGTACACTTAATGAGGACAAATTCAAATTAAGAGATACCAAGGGGCTTCCCTGGTGGCTCAGAGGGTAAAGAAACTGCCTGCAATGCAGGAGACTTGGGTTTGATCCCTGAGTCAGGAAGATCCCCTGGAGAAGGGAATGGCTACCCACTCTGGTATTCTTGCCTGGAGAATTCCCTGGACAGATGAGCCTTGTGGGCTACAGTCCATGGGGGTTGCAAAGAGTCGGACGTGACTGAGCGACTTTCACTTCACTTCAAGATACCTACATGAAAGGCTAGATTCAAGCTTCATGAAATCAAGGCTCAAATCAGATTTGTTCTTATTTCTAGCAGCTCACACAGAACCTCCTAGAAAACAAAGCAATGAAACTGTGGGGAGGAGCAGGTGTACTAGCACCGAATCACATGGATGACAGTAATCGATAAAGGAGTGATCCTGTGGTACAGTTGATGAGATGATGGTAGAGAAAAAGTGGGGAGAATGAAAGTGTGAGAGAATAAAACATTGTGGTTAATTATTCATCTGTGTTTGACTTTAGAATCACTCTTATTTTTGAGCTGCATTTTGATTTTTTGATTCAACATAATCACCGTTGCTCTAAGAAATAACCTCAGTCAGACCAGTGTTAGTGAGAGCATATTCTGGATTCTTCTCTAGGCCAATTTTTGAGATTTTTTTGAACTGATGTTTCTTTCTTTGAAAATATACATGTGTGTGTGATGATGATGATGTAATGATGTAATACCAACACAATCCTCTTGTGGTAACTGAGATAACACCTAGAACAGTGGTCTAGTTTCTGCCTTCTGCTTTCCCTCCTTGCCTACAATCTGCAACAGTTTCACATCTGCATTTCAAATAAGCCACTGTCAGCAAGCACTTAGACCAGACTTTTCTGGTTCATACATAATTTACAATATCTCTCTACACTTTTAGCCTTTGGCTTCCATGTATATGGAGAAGGAAATGGCAACCCACTCCAGTCTTCTTGCCTGGGAAACCCCATGGACAGAGGATCCTGGTGGGCTACAGTCCATGGGGTCGCAAAGAGTTGGACACAACTGAGTGAGAAATGAGAAATAGATTTAAGGGACTAGGTCTGATAAACTAAGTGCCTGATGAACTATGGACGGAGGTTCATGACATTTTACAGGAAACAAGGAACAAGACCATCCCCATGAAAAAGAAATGCAAAAAAGCAAAATGGCTGTCTGAGGAGGCCTTACAAATATCTGTGAAAAGAAGAGAAGTCAAAAGCACAGGAGAAAAGGAAAGATATACCCATTTGAACGCAGAGATCCAAAGAATAGCAAGGAGAGATAAGAAAGCCTTCCTCTGTGATCAGTGCAAAGAAACAGAGGAAAACAATAGAATGGGAAAGACTAGAGATCTCTTCAAGAAATTTAGAGATACCAAGGGAACATGTCATGCAAAGATGGGCCCAATAAAGGACAGAAATTGTATGGACTTAACAGAAGCAGAAGATATTAATAAGAGGTGGCAAGAATACACAGAAGAACTATACAAAAAAGAGCTTCATGACCCAGATAATCACAATGGTGTGATCACTCACCTAGAGCCAGACATCCTGGAATGTGAAGTCAAGTAGGCCTTAGGAAGCATCACTTCAAGTAAAGCTAGTGGAGGTGATGGAATTCTAGTTGAGTTATTTCAAATCCTAAAAGATGATGCTTTGAAAGTGCTGCACTCTATATGCCAGCAAATTTGGAAATCTCAGCAGTGGCCACAGGACTGGAAAATGTCAGTTTTCATTCCAATCCCTAAGAAAGGCAATGCCAAAGATTGCTTAAACTACCGCACAATTGCACTCATCTCACATGCTAGCAAAGTAATGCTCAAAATTCTCCAAGCCAGCCTTCAGCAATACATGAATCATGAACTTCCAGATGTTCAAGCTGGTTTTAGAAAAGGCAGAGGAACCAGAGATCAAATTGCCAACATCCTCTGGGTCATTGAAAGAGCAAGAGAGTTCCAGAAAAACATCTATTTCTGCTTCATTGACTATGCCAAAGCCTTTGACTGTGTGGATCACAATAAACTGTGGAAAATTCTGAAAGAGATGGGAATACCAGACCACCTGACCTGCCTCTTGAGAAATCTGTATGCAGGTCAGGAAGCAATGGTTAGAACTGGACACAGAACAACAGACTGGTTCCAAATAGGAAAAGGAGTAAGTCAAGGCTGTATATTGTCAGCCTGCTTATTTAACTTACATGCAGAGTACATCATGAGAAATGCTGGGCTGGATGAAGCATAAGCTGGAATCAAGATTGCAAGAAGAAATATCAATAACCTCAGATATGCAGATAACACCACCCTTATGGCAGAAAGTGAAGAAGAACTAAAGAGCCTCTTGATGAAAGTGAAAGAGGAGAGTGAGAAATTTGGCTTAAAACTCAACATTCAGAAAACAAAGATCATGGCATCCGGTCCCATCACTTCATGGTAAATAGATGGGGAAACAGTGGAAACAGTGTCAGACTTTATTTTTTGGGGCTCCAAAATCACTTCAGATGGTGACTGCAGCCATGAAATTAAAAGACGCTTACATTATGACCAACCTAGACAGCATATTAAAAAGCAGAGACATTACTTTGTCAACAAAGGTCCGTCCAGTCAAGGTTATGGTTTTTCCAGTAGTCGTGTATGGATGTAAGAGTTGGACTATAAAGAAGGCTGAGTGCCGAAGAATTGATGCTTTTGAACTGTGGTGTTGGAGAAGACTCTTAAGAGTCCCTTGGACTGCAAGGAGATCCAATCAGTCCATCCTAAAGGAGATCAGTCCTGGGTGTTCATTGGAAGGACTGATGTGGAAGCTGAAACTCCAATACTCTGGCCACCTGATGCAAAGAGCTGACTCATTTGAAAAGACCCTGATGATGGGGAAGATTGAGGGCAGGAGGAGAAGGGGACGACAGAGGATGAGATGGTTGGATGGCATCACCAACTCAATGGACATGAGTTTGAGTAAACTCCGGGAGTTGGTGATGAACAGGGAGGCCTGGCGTGCTGCAGTTCATGGTGTTGCAGAGTCAGACATGACTGAGGGACTAAACTGAACTGAACTGAACTGAGTGACTGACACTAGCACTTCTATGTATAAGATGTGTAACTCACACATTAGAGGGAAGAAGAAAAATCATACCTGAGAGCAGTCAAGTTCTAGTTATGTTCTGGGACACAACACATTTTCTATCAATGTGAAGAGTCAGTCGTGCTGGGTACAATCAGGGAAGGAAGCTAATAAACTGCACAGTGAGCTGTGATGACTAGTTAATCTGTTTGGCGTGTTTACTCTTTAATTCAAGCTGACAGGGTAGCCTCATCTTCATGCTGGGCTTATCTCAGCTCTCTAGGGCTTTTGAGAGCTCCAAAGGCCATGATTCCTGAATTCATCTTCTTAATTTAAAATTTCTCACCCTTTGAATTACACTAAATGCCTGATTTTCATGAAATAAATGGAAATACTCCAAATAGCTTCCACACAGCAAACACCTGTTTTGAGTGCATATTATATTTCCAGCATACTCCACACAAATTAATAATTAAACTTTTTTTTGCCTCTAGGCAAGAAAAGATTGCATTTGAAATAATGTATACTAATGCACATATATGGAATTTAGAGAGATGGTACAGATGAGCCTATTTGCAGGTCAGGAGTAGAGAAGCAGAAGTAGAGAATGGAAATGTGGACATGGGGTGGGGAGAATGAGATGAATGGAGAGAACAGCATTGACATATATACACTGTCATATGTTAAATAGACAATGAGTGGGAAGCAGCTACATAGCACAGGGAGCCCAGCTGGATGCTCTGTGATGACCGAGAGGGGTGGGATGGGGGGCAGGTGGTGGAGGGAGGTTTAAGAAGGAGGAGATATATGCATACATATAGCTGATTCAGTTCATTGTACGGCATTAACTAATACAACATTGTAAAGCAGTTACACTCCAATTTTAAAAGTATTGTGTTTGTAAGACACTAAGAATCAGTTTCTTTGATCTCATGAAAAAAAGAAGAAAAAGTAAAACCAGGTTTAGGAAAATAGGATTGGGCTGCAGGCTTCCAGTGGGTATATTCAGGACATCTGAGGGCAAAGTCTGCTTAGATGCCCAGGTTGGTGGTTTCATTCAGAACTGATGACTGGGCATGGCAGTTCATTCTGGTAGCCATGCCCAGAACTATAGATTCCCAGGTTTCTCCACTTGCCCCATCTACCCCTTTCACTCAGCTAACTGCTATTTATCCTTTAAAAGTCTTCATTAGTATTAGTGAGGGGACCGTTTTTCACTTTATGTACTTGAAATGTTTTAACTGTTTTTTTTTTTTTTTCAGTGAGCATGTATTACCTTTATAGTTAAGACAACAAGAAAAAAAAAATGGAAAAAATACAAAAACTGCACCAAGTAAACCAAATCTCCCCTAAACCTACTGCTTCCTGTCTCCTCCCCTAGAAGGTAAAGTTCTGATCATTTTCAAATCCTCTTGCCCCAATCCATATTTATTCATGCTCTTCTATCTGTGAATTTATATAGACCTACCATCACTTACTTTTAGCCTAGGTCTTATACTCTGCAGTAATACATGAATACTTACTATTGTTCTCACTAGACTATAAACTCAGCAAGAGCAGGATGTATAAAAACTGTCTAGATTCCCACCATCTCCTCCAGTACCCAGCACAGCATAGGTGCTCAGGATCTGTTCTTGAATGAGGAATGGAAGTAAAAGGAAGACGGTAGTTTTAGGAGGAAAGGAAGGCGACTGTGATTGCAGAGCCTTGGGCGCCGACATCATGGCTCCTGTATCCGTGATGCCCCAGGGAGACCTTGGCGCGGCTGCTGGCCACGGTGGCGCCCTTGCATCTGCTGGGAGGCTGGGCTGCAGGAGGTGAGTGAGCCCGACCGCCCTTCCTTTCCTGTACCTGAGTGCAGTACTGCTTCTCCAGCCTCTGGCTCTCCTTTTGTTTCTGGCAGGTGAGCGACACCACGGACACAATGGTGCCATTGTAGCTCTCCTGGGGAGACGTCCAGGACATCAGGGCGGTGGTTGAGCTTAGGACGTGGACACTCACGTGCTGGGGCTTCTCTGTGAGTTCTTCAATCCATTCTCCTGAAGGACCTGGGTCAAATCAGAGCGCAAGGGAGGCTTCAGGCTCAGCGGGTGCAGATGGACCATAGCTTTAAAAATCATGCTGTTTTCCTTTTGCCCTTACAAAGACATTCCAAGTCAGACTGGCAAGTCTTCATGTCCTCTGCCTAGCTATGGTCTCCACTGGGTGACCTCCCCGTTGACCTAAGCAACAGCCTGGTGGCAGCAACGAAACCAATTCTACTGAGAGACAGAAGCCCCACTTGAATGTTTACATGCCTCTGAGACTATTCTGGTAATTTCTGCACCAGATAGGATTTACTTAACAAAGAGCGTGTGTGACAGTGTGGTTTCATGAGTGTTTGTGATTCCTTCGCTGTTAGGATCTTTGGGCTCTAGAAATAATTATGTTGAGATTCAAATTAGCCTCTACTGCAATCCTGTGAAGAAAATTTTAAATCTGGTGACAGCAGAATCAAAGCAGCAGAGTGTGACTCCCTTAGAGAAGAAATAGGCAACAGACAGGCTCAATTATAGAAGCTGGTGGAAACCTGGGTGATAATTTGAGGACATGGTGGGATCCTCATTATAAAATATCTCCCTAAAAGTGCCCGCCATTAGCTTTGTTCTTTTAAATTTCCAAAGTGGTTATTAGCACAGTGCCTGACATATAGTGAAGACCCAAGAAATGGTAAGGTGATTATTATCTCCTGAAAGTACCTGTTAAAATGCAAATGTGCAACTTCTTTTATTTGCTTAGGATACATTTGTCAGTTCTCTCAATAAGAAGCTGTAGTCCTGGAGCCCAGGAAAAGGGGAGGAATAAGTGACTCTGCTGGGGAGGGCAGTCTCAAGCTCATGGGAAATGGGGCAAAGAAAATAAAAATAATATAAATGATAATAATAATTATAATGGCAAAGAGATGTAGGACTCACTGTTTGCCAGGCTCTTTTAAGCTTATTTATGTTTACATGTTTTAATTCTTTAATTTTCTTAACTAAACTTATAAGTACTAGATTGATTTCAGTTTCGGATAAGAAAACCGAGGCAGAGATAGGATAAGTAGAGCTGGGATTCACACACAAGAAGTCTGGTTTCAAAATCCATGCTCTTAACTCCTGTGTGAAACTTCCTGGAGCACTATGAAACTATCAGAAGGGTGAATCTGGAAACAGGAAATTTGGCGCCAAACTCAGTTTTGCTCATTATTAGCGATGCAACTTCGGGCAAATGACTTCTCTGAATCTCAGTCACTGCATCTGTCAAATGGACAAATCATAGAACGTGAGGACAGGAAAGGACTTTAGAGTTCCAGTGTGGGTTACTGATGGGGAAACCGGGGCCCAGAGATGTGAATGACCTGCCCAATGTCACAGAGTGAGTATTGAGAGACAACCTAGGGCTCCTATTTTCTGGGTCGGGGCTTTGTGTTAACATCTCAAGATGCCATCTGATTAGTCTACTTTATAAGATTGTTGCTGGGATCAAATGAGATTGCAATGTATTAGAAAACTATCTAAATGTGAAATGTTGTTACTTTTATGAAGATCTGAAGTGGGTGGGAGCAGGGAGAGAAGGTGGATGGAGGCAAAACAAATTCACTCATTTAATGGCTTTATAATAAGATGGACCTGATAATCAACACAAGGTAATAGGTCACTGCAGACTCCATGAAAATGGACACGGTTACTAAAGATTTCTAGAGTCTGATTCTCCTTCTCACACTAAATGGCTAAACTTTCTGTGTCTAAGTATTTTTTTTCCACCTAAAAATGGAGATAATAGGAATGTTCCCTTCATAAGGCTTTTGGGAGACTAATGTAAATTTCTACCTTAATTTTCATCTCTGAGGAAAGCCTTCAAAACTACATAAATACAGTATCCTTGTAAAATCAAAAGCATATACATAGTACACCTGAGTAACTCATTACTGCAGAACAGAATATCTGAAGCTCCAAACAGGTTGTTTTACTGGCAGAGAAACAGAAAAATTTCTAGTACCTTATATTTTCCTAAATGAATATTAACATGCATCTCTTCCAAATAATCATATTTTTGAGCAATTCTGACATTCTCAGCAGCTCTGGTCAGTTTGGATACTCTAAGAATAGAGTGCCTATCACTGGAAAGTGATTCAATAAATATTTGTTGAATGTACAACAGAAATAATAAATAAGCAAAGAGTATAACCCAACTTAGGGTTTTATTATGTGGCATGAAAAGCAAGAGGTATGCAAATAAAATCCATCTAGAAAAATATCACACTCAGAGATAAGCTCTGTACTGTAAAGAATCTGCCTGCAATGCAGGAGACCTGGGTTTGATCCCTGGGCCCGGAAGTTCCCCTGGAGAAGAGAACGGCTACCGACTTCAATATCCTTGCCTGGAGAAACTCATGGACAGAGGAGCCTGGTGGGCTACAGTCCATGAGGTCACAAAGAGATGGACACAATTGACTGACTAAGACTTTCACTTCATTATGAAACAGTAGAATTCAGAGGAGGGAAGAGCTAATGGCCTGAACAGTTGTAGAAGTTTTCCTAGAATTGCAGTGGGTCTCTGCTGGCTGACAAGGGAATCTCCGGGTTAATGAAACATTTTTAGCCTCATGGGAAGAACTCAATACTAAACTTTGCTTTCATTCTCAAATGATGCCACGTCAAAGATCTCCTGTAACTGAAAGACATGCAGGGTGATCATGGATATTTTTTCTGCTTGTCTAGTGGATATTTTAAGCCTTTTCACCAGTGGTGACATTTTTGGTTTCCTAAGAAAAATTGTTATACAGGGTATTTTCAACATTTTTAGGCTGCTAAATAAACTGATTTCTCTCCTCTGAGCTCCTCCTTTTTATCTCGCCTTTTTGAGGGTCATTTAATGAAAGGTGGTATTTTGCCTTTGGAGGAGGAGATAACATATAGCGATCATCCTTCTTGGAATGAAGTTTTTATCCATTGCCTTTTTTTTTTTTTTTTTTCTGCTGCTGATGAGAGGCACATTTAACTCCATATAAGCTAGGAAACAGATTTTGGGCCTCTAAACTTGTGGTAAGAATAGTCAGATTAGCAGAAAACATTACCGACATACACTATTTGTGTAGCTTTTTGAGGCTAGTTATTGGCCTGCTATTATCCCTGATGGAATCAGTAGAAACTGCCCTAAGACTTGATCTTGTTATTTTCATAATGCTCTAGCTTCGCTGTTGTTGTTTAGTCATTAAGTCGTGTCTGATTTCTTGGGACCCCATGGGCTGTAGCTCACCAGGCTCCTCTGTCCCTGGGGTTTTCCAGGTAAGAATACTGGATTGGGTTGCCATTTCCTTCTCCAGGAGATCTTCCCAACCCAGGGATTGAACCTGGGTCTTCTGCATTGCAAGTGGATTCTTTACCATCTGAGCCACCAGGGAAGTCCCATGCTCTATCTTCGTTTGTGCTGATTTTTGGAGAGACCACCTAGGTCTTACTACACTTGAATCTCTGTGCTTCTTTCAAGCTCCCCAAATTCAACACTCTAATGAGACTTTTCACACAGTTCAAAAATACCAGTTTTCATTATGGCTTCAAACAAAAGTCCTCTTTCCTAAACTATGTGCCCATGTCCTTGGAGAGTTTGTTACCACTAGTGCGAAAGGTCAATTTAACAACTGTCCAATTATCTCAATAATAAAAAAAAATCCTCAAGTTAAATCCCTGCGTAGATTCACTACTATGAAACATACATATATTTTCTCTGCTGTCAAAAATCACATGGATTTGGGCCTCTCATGACCTTGAAGAATTCTCAGGGTCTCTAAGGATTGATGAATAATTGATGCTTGAGCATCATTCATCTCACCGGCTCCATTGTTTTAGCTCCTCTGTAAATGCAAAATAATCTCTTTGGTACTTACTGATATAAAAACTGAGTGATTTTGCTGACTGACTGTTTCGAGTTTCACAAGATCCTGAGGAACTAAAGGTTGTCACAGATAACTTATATTTCCCGGGCTCCTTCAGTTCTGCAACAAATTCATGTGCTTCTTCATCCACTGTCAAATATTCAGTAAAGTTTTCTAAACCATGTATAAAGAAGAGAATATATATGAATTGATATCCAGAACAGCCTTGGCTATAGATAAGTCAATTAATTTTTTAAAAAAGTATTTTCTTATTTTGCTTCTTTCCTTGTGTCTAGTTGAATTGTACCTCCAAACTAAAATTGCTATTGAAAAAAGATGGCTAAGAGTTCAAATTGTTTTCTTACAGTATTTTAAAATAACTAAATTAAAATATGGTGTCCAAATCAATAAAAATATGGATATATATATACTGCATTCTTACATACTGTCAGCCAGTAAAATGATACACACAAAACACAAGTATAATGTTAGGAGAAGATAGCAATGATCAACTTTCTCATTTGGATATAAAGAATTAAAAGAAACAGTACCAAATGTTGTACAAGTTCTTTGTGATAACATTAAATATGCATAAGTGTCTTAAAATATATTGAATTATTTTCTAGTTAGAAATAATCCTCTGGGTATATTTTCTGACACATTATATTTTGATTCATTGGCTGACTTCCAGAAATTTTAAAAGTAAAAATGATTTTTACATTGCTTCAAAGTCTATCTCCTGCTGCTTATTGCTTCATTTGAAGTTTTTTTCTTATCATTTGGTGACCAGAGTTGCCTTCAACAGAACACACTGCAGTCAGATAAAAGCATGACTGAACTTTCATGGAAATAGGCATTACAAAATACTCTAAGACCCTATTTTCCGGAGATTATATCGAGGAACAGAAAAATAAAAGACTAAAGGAACTTTTTTTAAACATAGGCAATTTCAGGCAGATGTTAAGACTTTTGACTCAAATAATTGTAAATGACAAAGGATTTCAATTTTATATAATATTTGTGTATCGTTGGTTGCTCTATATTCCAATATAGAGGAATTCACAAATCTTGTATTTCATTCTATTGGATAAAATAGGGGCAAACAATATGTCATCTATGAGACTATATGATTTGAATACCCTAGCATGTAAGTAAAGCTGTCAGTTTAACCTCAAATTTTTGACAACTTGACAGCCTTTGCCACTCAAGCTACTAGACTGGAGAGCAAAAAATGAAGTATGTCATTATAAAAACAAAATAAACAACAATTTCTAAATAAACAATGAATATCTACCAAACAACAATTCAGGTATGATTCATGATCCAAATTTACTGAATGTCATGGCCCTGTTTTTCATAAAGTAATGGGTTAAATATAAAGAATGTCTCTTGGATGCTAAGGGAATACAATATATATATAATATAGTAGCTGGAGTGGGAATACCAGTTGCTGTGTATTTTTATTCTACTACCATCTCCTCTTTGGAAAAATGTGAGTTGTGCTGGTTCCAGGGGAGCACCACCTGAGGGGAAATAAGATTAGCCTGATAAGCAGAACACAGGTCTGATACTCTAGGGAAAGAAGTCATGTTGTCAGTAAGATTCTTTTGCTGCATGCTTCACAAATTTGTGTACTTGGAAAACAGAACACTTCTCCAGGATATTCTGTAATTTGCGATGGTTAGAAATTTAATTCAAAATCTTTTCAAAGTTTCCTCAGTGGCCTGGGGGAGGTGAAGTGTCAGCAATAAAATGTGTACAGTTGCCCATACTTGCGATGTGTGAACTACCCAAACTGGGTTCTGACCCAATCTGTTCATTTTCGTTTTCTGGTTTCAGTCTGCCTTGGGATATTCAATAAATGCTTCATTTTCTTTACCATTTTTCTTATATCTTAACTGTCTGCCTTCAATCTTTCTTTCTAAATGTAATTTTTCAAAGTTCCCCTTTCCTTTACCTTTGCACCATTTCTTATGTCCTCTGATTTCCCAGTACTTTACCTTCTCTTTCTTTCTAATTTTTTTTAATTAAAAAAAAATTTTTTTTTTACCTTCTCTTTCTATGTGGATATGGAACCCATCAAAGGCAGTGGGTGGTTTTGGTGGTAACCAACTCAATATCATTTGTACAGGGAAAGAAGAGAAGGAGCTGGATGCCGATTTTTCCGTCTCACTGAGTGTATTGTTATTTTCGTATTCTGTGGGAAGCACACTGACAAATTCATCTTCACTCTCAGGAGTCGCAGATGCGCTGTCCCACCAATATGGCTGGGATGTTGTTTTGAAATCACTGCTATTAAAATCAGGCCAACCAGAGGAAATGTTGCCAGAGGGAATTTCAGGAGTGTCCTCTGTAAAATGGAAGACTCTGTCCTTTCCCATTGTGTCTTGTGATCTTATGAACGATTCCTCTGGGAAACTGCCACTCTCTTCTTCCCAGTTGTTTTTGTTCAAGTTCACTATGCGAACTGAGATATTCCGAGGTGGATAAGGGGCTGTAAGAAAGAGAATTATCATTTTATGTATTTTTTTAACTATTATAATGAATATTAATGAGTCAAACAAAAAAGCAGATTCAGAAAACAGAGTTTAACTGTACTTCTACATCAAGAACAAGTGTCGTTTCCAGACTTCCCTGGTGGTTCAGATGGTAAAAGTGTCTGCCTACAATGCAGGAGAACTGGGTTCGATCCCTGGGTTGGGAAGATCGCCTGGTGAAGGAAAAGGCAACCCACTCCAGCATTCTTGCCTGGAAAATTCCATGGACAGAGGAGCCTGGTAGGCTATAGTCCATGGGGTCGCAAAGAGTCGGACACGACTGAGCGACTTCACTTTCTTTCACTTTCACTTTTTACATCAAGAACAAGTGTCGTTTCAAGTACATGTCTATCTAAGATTTTGTACATGATGTGCATACATTATCGTATCATCAGTCACACTTCAAATACATTAAGTAGTGGTACTATGTTAGTCAAAGTGGTGACTGAACCACTTCCAAAGTAGAGTTACATTCATATTTTTCAGCTTATCACAATCTCTTTTTGAAAAAGCCAAGTCTCTGTCACTAGATCTTTTTTACAAAAAAGCAACTATAGTGTTTTATAACTATCAGGACTAAAAATACTCTCTATGACATAGTTGCACTTAGGAGAGTTGCGTGTCAAAATTACCTTTAGAAACTTTAACACACGTTGCAAATATGGCTTCACTTCTAACCTCTCAGAATGAAAACTATGCCCACAAAATAAGTTTATGAATTATGGAAGTATACTTTTCTAGTGGTAGAAAATTATGAAGGCCACTGCATGGTCTCTACCTGCAACAAATTCTACATATCTTTCGAATAGCAACTCAACACTCACCTCTTAGGGGCTTTTAATAAAAATTAATCTTTCGCTCTTTCATGCTGCTATATAACTTTGTGTGCACACGCTCAGTCACTTCAGCCGTGTCCAACTCTTTAATAATATTTATTGCATTCTGCCTTGTATGATTGCCAATAGCTGTTTAGTTGCTAAGTCGTGTCCAACTCTTTATGACCCTAATGTAGTCCATCAGACTCCTCTGTCCCTGGCATTTCCCAGACAAGAATACTGGAGTGGGTTGCCGTTTCCTCCTCCAGGGGATATTCCTGACCCAGGGGTTGAACCCATGTCTCCTGCATTGGCAGGCGGATTCTTTACCATTGAGCCTCTAGGGAAGCCCATGAGTGCCAATAGCACCTCTACCATTTTTGAGGCCAGGAAACCATTTTAGCGGACTTTGTCTTCATCTCTCCCTGTACTTTAAAAATCTCCCAGGTAAAGATGCTCAACTAGTTCCGTTACTTGAATAATGAAAACTACAAGTAGAATCTTAGGTGTTGACATGAGGTGAATAAAATATTAATATTTAGCTGAAATAATTTCTTTGTTTTGGCCTAAATAATGAGAATCATGACATCTTAGAATTTCAGATTGGCAGGGTCTGTTGGTGATCTATTACAATCCATTCCCAATATTTGTATGAATTGTGTCTCCTCATGCCTATCAAATACTTAAGCATGTTTGGGGTGAAAAATGTCAGTTATATTGGTATTGGTGATGGGCATTTAGCATGTGTGTATTTATTTTACCCATCCATTCTTTCACCTTCCTCCCCATCTATCTATCCATCCATCCATTCATTCATCTATTCATCCTGTGATTGTGCTTCATATTAGTGATGATACTAAAGTTAAGCACTGCCAAGTTTTAGGTGTATCTGAATCCCAATATTTTCTTTTAATAATCAGATAATCTATACTAGAACTTCTCACATCTGTTCTTCTGCCATGTGGTTATTATGTCATATTGTAGATTTACTGATGTCTACTTGATTCAATTAAATTACTTACTTATAACTTTTCATAATATCACATGCTTTTTTATTCAAAGATTAAAAATCTGTGATTTCATTGACATATTTAAATTTTTTATTGAATATTTTGCTCAGTTCATTTTACATTGATAGAAAATTCATTTTAGATTATTGAAATATGTATTTTTTCTGAGTTCTGGAACAGAATTTTCCTTAGAATGATAGAAAGCATACATATAACAATAACATATAATTTAATTATTTTTTCACTAAATTTGACTTTTTTAAGTAACTTACCAGTTCTATGCTGTTTGGGTTCATGACTGACACCGCTGTACTCCACGAGAGTGCTTTTATTAAAAGTTGCCTCAGATACCAGCTGAAAGGTGATATTACTATAGCATATTCCTGGCAGCCAGTGATTAAACACTGTTTTTCCCTTAAAAAAATCTGAGAAAAAAAATTATATTAAATTTTTGGTTTTCTAAATGCCACACACTTCTAGAAAGTTCTGAACAATTATGACTATCTGTCAAATAATATTTCCTGTGATTTATAGTCAGTAATAAAAAGTTGATTTAAGGTTAGAGATTTAAAAATTTAAATTTTTAGACTCAAAGGCTTTTTCTGCAAGAATTAGATACAACTGGAATTAAAATTTTTATAGGAACATCTGGTGTATTAAGTGGAAACGGTAACATAGAAATTGAAGAGATTAGGTTTATGCTAATCATTTACTGTAAGATAAGAACCCAAGGTATTTTGCCAATTTATGACTTAGGAAAAAATGATTTTACAAGAAATGTTTTCACTAGACTTACTTGTAAAATATAGCCTATTTTTTAAAAGAAAATGATTTATCATTTGGCAAATGGGAACTTCCTGAAAAAAGAAGAAAATTAAAAAAACTGAATTTTATTTAGAAAATTTTTTGGAAGATAATAATAAGCTTAAAATCCCAATCCAAGTTGGAAAGAAATGAGGGGAAGGAACTAAAAATACCACTTATTGAATGAAAAGCCAAAAATAATTTGAAAAATTAATTAACTGAAAAAAGAGAGCATACTAGTTAACATTTTTAAACTCACAGAATTTAGCTCAACAAAAGTGTCAGTGATGCTTTTCAGTTATTTATAAACTTATATTTGCATGTGATAAATAAGCAAACAAGGTCTCAATTATTAATTTTCAGATAATCTATTTTCATTGAAAACAAAGAATGCAGTTACAGAGTCTATTTTTGTTTATTTGATTTTTTTAAAGTTTTTAAAAAAACCTGTAGAGTTACTGCATGTGCCTTAAACACTGTGTGATTAAAAAAAAAAATCCATGGAAGATTCAGGAGTTTATAAAAGCAGCAAGTCAAAGTGGGATGTTTCTGGGTATCATGCCTTAGGTGGTTGAGTAAGTATCCTCTACCTGGTTTTCAATTACAACTAATCAACTTTGAGACCAGCAGCTATACTCAGTGCAGATAAATGTAGTGGTTTTGTGTCCTGAGAATATTTGTCTCTCCAGTTCAGTTCCCAAAACTGAATGTCCTCTGTCCGCTCCCTGTCTCTCTCCCACCTGGCCCGCTTCTGCCCTCTAGTCTATTCAGAGAAATTGATTTGGTTTCTTTAGAAATTTTTAATTACCCTGGACCCTCTTCTCTCTCTCTCTGACCACAAGATCCCCATCAAGCCAGTAAAAATAGTGAAACCCATTTCTGTATATTAATGCAATCATTTAACTAGTCATACAGATAAATATACACAAAGGAACTGAAAAGTATTGTCTTTAACATTCGAGAATAATGTTGGACCATCTTCAAATGAAACTTTTTGAAAGACCCCCGTCTAACTTCCCATGTCTGGAAATGCCCTAATGCACTCAGAAGGAAATGATTAGGTGCTGTGCTTCTAAATTTAAATTTAAATTCGTTTCCTGCACCAGACATGCAGGAATAATATTTGGCAAGAAGAACATGTAAGTCATAATAATTTAAGTTTTTCTTATGTTTATGCATGACACATGACTCTAAAATAATGAACCAAACATTCTAAGTCTCCTCATAACAATATTTTCATACATCCGTAACTATTTTTATTGGTTCATTATGATCAAACAGTGAATTATAAGACTTCTTCAGAGCAAGAGCAAGACCATTTGACAGAAATCATGTAAAATGTAAGAGTCATCGTTTTTCATCTTTCTGTTGCCTCTTACCTTTATATAGCATTGTCCGGAAGTCTTTACCTTCCCAATAGCTTATGTTTACTCTTGTGAAAACGTTATATTTTTCTGGATAATGAATTTCAAAGAGGACTCCTGTTTCAGGAGAAGGTTTATAGTCATATATTGAAACACTGGTTACAGGAAGAGGTTCTGCAGTAGGAAAGTTAATGGAGAAAGGGGAATTGGGAAAAGAGCAAAATACCATTATTAATACTTGGAAGTGCCAAGGATGACACCTATTAGCATTTTACACATACTTTAATTATCTGTAAGCCACTAAATTCCTCAGTACTCCTGAGCTGACTGTTCTCCTTAGCAGTAATTAATAAAGCATATTTTATGTGGTGATTTCTGCTTTTCAAAGAACTTTCATATTCATTTTTCCAATTGCCTTTAGCAACAACCCTAAGATCTAGGGAGAGCAAATATTCATATCACCATTCAACATATAAAAATAATGATAACTGAGACTTTAAATTACTTGTCAAAGGTAATTTAACAAGGGCATGGCAGAGTCTGTATCTACAGATTCCTAGTTCATTTTTCCCCCAAGTCAAGAAAATTTGATATTAATAACAGACAAGTAACAGAAAATATGCTTCCTGGGAGGTAGGTGCAGTGGTAAAGAATCTGCCTGCCAATGCAGGAGATGCAAGGGACTTGGGTTGGATTCCTGGGTGGCATGAATGTTTTAATAATCAGTTATTTCTTCATATGAGCTTAGTACTTTTTAAATAGTAAGTATAAGAATGCAAACCATCCTATATTATGAGAATTATAGTTCATGATGTTTATCACCCTTTCTACAGAAGTTTAAAAATGTATACTTTTATTTTGTATGAGTTGTTAACTCATCACAAAACTTTGTAAATAAATACTCATTTTTTAAATAACCGATTGGTTGATTTACATCTGAATCTCCTCCATTCCCACTTTTCAGCCCAAGTCTTGTACAGTGCCAGAGTCCCTTCATTCTTCAGTAGGGACTACTGAATGAGTCTTACTAGCATGCATTTCATTCAAGAAAATGTTTAAAATAATTTGGCACGGAGTCAACTCTTTATTGGCTTCCCTGATGGCTCAGTGGGTAAAGAATCCACCAGCAAAGCAGGAGGCACAGGGGTCACGGGTTCAACCCCTGAATGGGGAAGATGGCAACCCACTCCAGTATTCTCACCTAAAAAATCCAATCAACAGAGGAGCCTGGCAGGCTACAGTCTGTGGGGTTGCAAAGAGTCAGATACGACTGGGCAACAAAACACGAATCAACTCTTACAGAAAAAACTGATTTTGATTCAAAGTTTTAGCATCGAGAGGATTCTTGGACATCTATAGCCTAAAAGAAATAGACTTAGTTTAAGTTTTACACTTTGAAATTTCAATTTCAATAACATAAGAAACCAAAATTTGACTTAGTTCATTCAACAATTACCTACTTTGTCTCAATCTGTAGCTAAATATCTTTTTTTGTTGTTTTAAAAAATCTAAATTTATATTTATTCTAAATGTTTCTATTTTATTTTTGCCAATTTTTGTTTCATTATTGCTTAATCTTTTTAAATAAGTATAATTCTTTCATCTATCATTTTATAGATGATAGCAGACTACAGATTTTTGTTATGTTGCTACATAAAACATAGTCCAAAATGTGATAATTTTGGTGTCTGTCTTCTTTAGCATAGATTTCTTTTGTTTGTTCTAAACCATAAGCCCTCGGCCAAATTTTGCTTCCTCATTGTCCCATTTCTTGCTTTTTCTTCACTGTTTTGAGGCAGTTTAGCATCCTTTCAGCTCACCAGGAGCGGTAGTTTAGGGCCAGGGCATATAACATCACTTTGGGGTTCTTGATATTATGGATGACATAGCTGTTTTCACAAAACTCGTTCTCTAAGAGGGTAACTAAGTGTGGTACTTGATAGTAAGACTATGTGTCTCTTGCATCCTTAGGACTCCACATGTGCCTTTGGCAAGCAGGAAGAATCTTTGCTTTCAACAATGAGCCTGGCTCTGGGTCATATCTAATGTGTAAAAATTCAATCCTTCCTACTCTCTGGTGACCCAGACTCAGTACTGTCTTCTTTCAGACTCAGAGCACAAAGGCTCCATGACTTTAGCCTTCTTCCCTACTTGGAGTTTCTGATTCATGGAGACACCTATCTTATTTCTAAGCCTAGAAATATATTTCTGGTTTTCTTTTCACTTTGTGGTGGGAGCAAAAAATATATGACAAAGCAGAAATTTACGGCGTTATTTTTACTAAAAAATCTTACCATAGAATCCCATTTTTTCTTTTAATAAAAAATTTAAAATGGCATTTAACAGGATTATTATTTCCTCATTAGGTAGCCCACATAATAAAAACTATGTCCAAATTGAAGAATATTTCCTGTTTCTTAATTCCATTGGAACCATCATGACAGTTCATAAATAGGAAGACTCTTAAAGTTCTGGATGTGACTATCTTAGAAGATGAAAAAACAAAAGCAAATGCAGAGTAGGTACTGTTTCAAGAAAGCAGACGTAGGCTTGTACTTGTTAATATCTGTTAATTGCTGAGGTGATTTCTTCCTGCGATTGCTCTGTTTTTAGGAACTAAAAGGAAAGCTCAGAATCCTTTGCTTCTGATGAGACCAACCTAAGGACATGTGTCTTCTGACATGATCCTCCTGACGGAGACAAACCTGGCCTTAGCCCCCACTTCTGATGTCAGGAGTAGGGAAGAGGGAATGATCCAGGTCCCAGGCCAGAGCTCTTGTCTGAGGCTTAGATAACAGCTTGGGACCTGACCTAATGGTTCAGCTGTATCCAAGCAGGCCACTGAGTTGAGCTGCCAGCAGCAGCCACCTGCGGCCCAGGAAGGATGTTTAGCATCACATCTACTAATTTAGTTCAAGTCTTCATCATTTCTTTTGTAGGAGAGCAAGGTTTGCCACCACAAAATGTGTCTCTTTGGCACGAGGCTTTTTTAAGAAACAGAAGAATCAGGAAGAAACTTTGATCTTCCCCCTAACTGCATAAAAGAACTTAGACAGAGGACTTGTTCCTGGACTAGATTATCACCAGAGGGACTGGCAAAGAATATGGGCTGGAAGTGGTGAGGGAAACTTAGCAGGGCTTGGAGATCAGAGTCCTCTCTGCGTCCTGTGGTCTCTTCAGGGCCCCCAGCAAACATTTGTTTATCAAACATCTGCTTTTCCATCTTCATGTACATTGCCTTCTTCCTCTTTTGTGGTCTCAAATCACTACCCCCAGCAACTTTTGTCTTTAGCTGAAGATGGTTTCTAAGGTGAAGGTTTTGGCCATTTCTGAGAATTCTTGCCTTCCTGGGTCTCTCCCATCTACACAATTGATTACATTTCAGTTTGGTTTTCCTTTGTTCATCTGTCTCACATCAATTTAATTCTTAGACCAGCCTGAAAAGCCTAGAAGGGTAAGTAAGAATTTCTTCCTCTCCAACACTTTCCTGGACTATTTAAACAACTTTCTAAATTATTCTTCCTGCCTCCAACCTCACCTTAATTTTTCTTATCTCTGTTTAAAGGTTTTAAGTTTTCAGGCTACTTGATATTCTCACTTTTGTCAGTCTCTGTTTTAAATCTGTCACCTCCACCTCACTGATTTTTCCCCATCTGGTCTTTTCTGTTTCTCCTTTGCTCTCAGCCTCTTGAGAAATTTTCTATTTAATGTCATTGGTATTAATTATATTTAGTGATCTAATACTGGATGTTACACACTATGTTAAGGAGTTTATTTAAATATTTTTTTAATATAAAAAATTTGCATTATTTAATAGTATCCACCACCAAATCGGTAATCAACAGCCCACAAGCCAAATCTGGCCTGCCACATGTTTTTGTATGATTTCTGAGCAAGGAATGCTATTTACAGTTTAAAATGGTTGACAAAACCCAACAGAAAAATACTATTTCATGACACATGAAAATTATGTGAAATTCAAATTTTGGTGTTTTTAAATAAAGTTGCCTTAGAACACAGCCATATTTATTTGTTTACATATTATCTTTGGCTGCTTTTCTGCTAATATAGTGGAGTTGAATCACTGTAACACAGACCATATGGTCCACAAAGCATAAAATATTTATTACCTAGGCCTTTACAGGAAAAGTTGGCTAACCAGTGGAATAGATTATAAATTAGAAAACTAGGAGAATGGAATAATCTGCCAAAGTCTACATTATGGTTCCCAGATTTCTCTGACTCTAAAGTTCATGTTTTGATCCACTATTCAAAATATCTGTGTGATAATTTGTCCATTCCAAGGCAAGATTCAGACTGTGTGCCTTGCAGCTCTGTTACAAGAAGGAGATTTCCCCCAATCAAATTGTATTGTCATTCCTTTGTATAAGACCTGTCCTCATTCCTCGTCGTTTAAAGGTTAAGGTCTAAACACTTTTGTAAAGTATTCAAGGTTATTCCCAATATTTCTAGTGACCTTTCTCTTCATTTTCTGGAATCACAGATGCTTGCCATCTTCACTCTTGCAGTTCAGAGGTGTGCCCTGCTACGCACCTATGCCTGCATTTTTAAAAATCTATGGTTCCCTTTAAGTCTGATTGTAACACTTTCCATTGTTTATCCATTTGGCAAATTTTCACTAAATTTTTCATCATTGTTTCTTCTGAGGTGCCTTCCCAATGCTTCCTAAGAAGGCTGGGTAGTCTCTTACATAATTCTTTTACAGCACTTATCATATATTTGTAATGTTTTATTTATCTTTTCCACTATTGTATACCATCTTTGAGAGTGGGTATTTTATTTATTTCTCTGCCACCTAAGATGTGGCATAGAGAATGTAGACAATATATAAAGTAAAAACTCAGACATTATTTTTATTTATCATGGCTGAATTTGTATGCTCTGTGTATGTTCTGCAGTCGTGTCTCTAGGACTTTACAAACACAGGAGAAAGCAGTGTGTAAACGGGATTTCCCAACTTTCTAAGAAGCTGTTCTCATGTATTATTTTATCTCCTGAGAAACTACTCCTTCTTTCTAATGTGCCCATGAAATGCTGAAGGTTCTCAAACAGTTAAATATTAATCAGATGTCAGAGCCTAAGGGTTATGAAACTCTTGAACTAGCCAAATGACTTGTTTGTGCTGAATTTATTCTTTGCTATGTTCCTCAGCTTTCTCTGAGAGTGCCAGACTCAGAACAACTGTAGAGAAATATCAAAGGACTGCCCTAGGGCCAATTGCTTTGTCATTGCTTATTTCATGAAGACAAAGATCTAACACACAATAAATGACTGCAACTAATGTACCCTTTTATTCTCAACTTGTCAGCTATGGGGGCAGATCCTACAAATGTTTTGTAAACTTTCAAGAAACCTTCCCCTTAGAAAAATAAAGATGGGGAAAATACATCATTAGCTGATAAATAATGGTAATTTTAGAGCTCAAAAGTAATCTTAGTTGTCCTGTATTTTAACCCTCTCTTTTTTAACAGAAGAAGCTGAAATCCAAATATCACTAACGTCCCAGAAATATTTGTACCAAAAAACCCAATTCCTATAGCCCCAAACTATTACTGCTTTCAAAACTGGGCTGGTGTAATTAAGTATTTGAAAATGGACTAGAAGGTGAGAGACAATAAACCATCATTAATTAATTTTTACTCTTTAGATATCAATGCAAGTTTCCTCTTTCACTTAAGGGTGTAGAAAACTGCAATTCAATATTATCCCTCGACATCTAACAGTGAGAAAAAGCCAAATAACGCATGAGACATAATTTTTCTTGAGTTTATCAGAGAGATGAGATTGCAAGGCAACCAAATGAACTAAATTCCAAAAATGAGCCCCTCTGGGACACCAGAGGGGGCACTGAAACTCTTTAACCTTTAGTAGGGCATGGCAGAAAGAAGGAGCACCATTAAGGCAGGAGAGAAGAAAGGAATTAACATTTTCCTGATTCATACAGGCAGTTGTGTGCATTTATGCTCAGTCGTGTCTGACTCTTTGTGACCCCACGGACCATAGCCTGCCAGCCTCCTCTGTCCATGGGATTCTTCAGGCAAGAACATTGGAGTGGGTTGCCATTTCCTACTCCAAGGGATCCTCCCAACCCATGGATGGTTTATTGCTCTTGCAATTCCGACACTGGCAGGTAGATTCTTTCCCACTAGCATTTTCCGGAAAGTCCCTCCCATACATAGAAGATGGCTACATTCCTTGAGATACTTTATTTTCTTTTATTAACAATTGGCTGTTCCTACTATCTCCCCTTTTTTGCGTAACTCCTATATATCCTAGCTCCCCACTTGCCTCCTCGGAGCAGTTTTCTCAGGGTTACTTGAGATGCTGCCTCCGGAGCTTGACATTCTCAGTATGTCCCCTGAACAAAACTTAACTCTCAACTTTTAGGTTGTGCATATTTTTTTTAAGTTGACATGCTAAAACAATAATATTTTGAATGTAATTGGTTAAGTAAACTATGTTATTAAAATTTATTTCATCTTTTCAGAAAATTTCTTAATGTGTCCAGCAGAAATTTTAAAATTACATATGTGATAATTGGCTAGTGCTAGTCTAAACACTCCAATTAAAAGACAGAGATTTTCAGATGGGGGAAAAAGCAGATCCAACTGTATGCTGCTTATAAGAAACCTATTTACCTATAAAGATGTAAGTAGGTTAAAGTATAAAGATGAAACAAGTATACTATGAAAATACTTAAAGAAAACTAAATGTCTATATTAATATCAGACAAAATAGACTTCAACACAAATCATTTGATCAGGGATAAAGGGGGACATTGCATACAGATAAGAAGGGTCAACCCATCAAGAAGACATGGTAATTCTAAAAGTATTTGCACCTAACAACATAACAACAGAGCTTGAAAATAGATAATGCATAAATTAAAAGAAGTGAAAGGCAAAATAAACAGATCCACATTCTCTGTCAATCACTGTTAGAACAAGTTGAAAGCAAATCATTAAGGATATAGAAGTCTTGAACAACCAACTTGACCTAAACTGACATTTATTAAAACATCACTCAACCAGTGCTCACAGAATGCATGACAAGATAGGCCTTTTGATTGAATTTGCATAAGTGAAGAGGAACTAAAGAGCCTCTTGATGAGGGTGAAAGAGGAGAGTGAAAAAGCTGGCTTAAAACATGACATTCAAAAAAAACTAAGATCATGACATCTGGTCCCATCACTTCATGGCAAATAGATGGGGAAAAAGTGGAAACTGACAGATTTTGTTTTCTTGGGCTCCAAAATCACTGCAGACAGTGACCACAGCCACAAAATCAAAAGACGCTTGCTCCTTGGAAGAAAAGCTACTACATACAAACTTAGACAAAAAGCAGAGACATTATTTTGCTGACAAAAGTCCATATAGTCAAAGCTATGGTTTTTCCAATAGTCATAAAAGGCTATGATGGTTGGATTATAAAGAAGGCTAAGCACCGAAGAACTGATGCCTTCAAACTATGGAGCTGGAGAAGATTCTTGAGAATCCCTTGGACTGCAAGGCGATCAAACCAGTCAGTCCTACAGGAAATCAACCCTGAATATTCATTGGAAGGACTGACGCTGAAGCTGAAGTTCCAGTTTTGGCCACTTGATGCAAAGAGCTGATTCATTGAAAAAGATCTCGATGCTGGGAAAAGACCCTGATGCTGAGGGCAGTAGGAAAAGGGGAAACAGAGGATGAGATTGTTGGATGGCATCAGTGACTCAGTGGACATGAGTTTGAGCAAACTCCAGGAGATAGTGAAGGACAGGGAAGCTGGCATGGTGCAGTTCACAGGGTCTCAAAGAGTCAGACATGACTCAGTGACTGAACAGCAACAACGGTCTCTGACAACAGCCTTTACTTAGATCAACAATAAGTTCTCTGCAAAATTGCCCAGTTTTTGGATAGTCAACAACACACTTCCAGCCCACATATCAAAGAATAACATCACAAAAGAAAATAGAAGATACTTGGAATAGAACTTACTTCATGTGCTAAAATATCAACAAGATATTTCAGAAGTCTTTCACCATTTCCTTACTTAAATTTCTTTGTGAACCATTAACTAAAAGCTGACTTTTCCAGCTTTGTCTAATCCAGAGTGGCTGAGCTCATGTTAATGAGTGTCGGGCCAGCAAAAGTCACTACAGCTTTATTTTTCTCTTTGTCTTAGCCCTTTTTTCCCCTGGCTCTTTTTCCTGTTACTTGCTTAACTAAATTGAATTAATATTTATTGATCACCAATTAAGCATAAGGGTTATGCTAGATGTTCCTTTGACATTATGAAGATGAGTAAAGCAGAGGGTTTCTGATTTCAAGGAGATATATTAGAGGCATTATGTACCTAGATCTGCTGCCTGGCTCTATTAGCTCCTAAGTCACTATTTCTGAAGCTTAAGATAATATTTCACTAGGCAAGTCCATTCTTTGATTCAGTGAGGTTATAGATTTGTTCATTATATCTTTAAACCTTGAAGGTCTTGGGTCTGTGCCATTCCTAATTTTTAGAACTCAGTACTGTTCCTGGTATTCTGCCAAGGGAAACTTTAATTAATTTTTGACAGACATGTTAGAAATGGGTCCTCTAGCTTGATTCTGCATTCTTGCTTCTTGGTGTTTCTCTTTCTTTTTACCCCAGTGTAAATATCACTATGTCCTTTTCCTTAACTGTGGCCAGAAAGATGACTTTCAGATGGCAATTAAAAGGTTGCAGTCACTGGAAAATTTGCACTGGGGAACAATGAACAGAAGGAACTTTGCTTAGACATTACATTGCTTAAGTGATAAACTCCACCATCTTATAGATAACGGTTGGTGATGGACAGGGAGGCCTGGCGTGCTGCAGTCCATGGGGTCGCAAACAGTGACTGAACTGATAGATAAGTTTTCATCTATACCTCAGCTTATGGGGCTTCTCTGGTAGCTCTGCGGTAAAGAATCTGCCTGTCAACGCAGGAGACTCAGGCTCCATCCCTGGGTTGGGAAGATCCCCAAGAGGAGGAAATGGCAAGCCACTCCAGTATTCTTGCCTGGAAAATCCCATGGACAGAGGAGCCTGGTGGGCTACAGTCCACAACACAACTTAGCGACTAAATAACAACCTCAACTTATACGGTAGAATTGAATTTTACTTTGAGATTAGGTTTTAAAGCCAGAGAGTAAAGTGAAAATCATATACAGATAAAACCACTTCCAAAAACTTCTAACATCAGCATGACCTCTTAAGGCAGGCACTACTAAAGGTTAAGATGTCAATGACATTTTTTTTTTTCTCAGCTTTTCTCTTGGGCACTGGAAACATAGGCTATTTTCAGGCTGAGGTGGGAAAAAGCAACTAATAAATGATATCTTTTATTCTTTCTCAGCTAAAAATGTGTAATTGGAATTTGAGCCAGCTAAATATGAGTATAAATTCTTTACTTCAAAAAGCAAGTTGCTTAACATAAGAATATATGTTCTAGGGGAAAAAAACTTAATTATGATCATACTATTAAATTATATAATAGCCAATTATATGGTCCAATCATGAATCTAAAATGGCCATTCAATCTCAAAATACACTATTGAGGTTGACTTTTTTGTTTAAAACACATTTATTTAAACAGAAGTTTACAATAAAATGTGATCAACTTCTGTGAGAAACTATATGCAAAGTGAAGTAGAACTTTGAACCTTGTCACTTGATTTGAAGGCTGTTGATCTTGCTGTCCTGGACTGACTCTGTGAGAACAGCAAGGGAATACACCCAACAAAGAAACACAGAGGATCATATTACATATGATGCTTACTTGTTAACACAGTGATTGATCTGGACGGCTTGGTAACCACATTTCCATTTACCACTACCAGAGTGATTATATAATATAGACCATGATAATTGGCCTTAAAGATAACGGGAGGAGGCAAAGTACTGTTGAATTCCTCAAATTCGAAGAAGTAATTTTTTGATTCACCAGTTATCTTCACAACATACACAGATGATGGACTCATGACATCTGAAGCTTCTAAAGAGACAGCGATGCTATTATCATCTCGGACAGTTACATGGAATGTGGTAGCATCCTGTTTAAGAAAATAGAGAAACAGAAAGTGAAGGTCAAGTTTCAGATTATATTCATTAAAATTATACTGAGATAATTTCCCCAAAACTAATGTTGTGACAAGCATTGCTTCCTGAAATAAGGTTACACAGGTATTATATATATATGTATATAAAAGTATAGGTGGAAAATCAAAAAGAGGAATATTAGCCCTATTGTGGCTATTGATCTTCTTAGGCTTTTTTACTTTTAGCATTCTTCTGGATTGAAAAGCTACCTCCAATTCACGGATTGTGCCAAGCAGTAAACACAAAATAAAAACATCAAGGAACTGTGTAAAGAGAAATGAATAAAAATCATCTTGGCACTCAACTTTCAGAGAAGTCCTTGGTTTCACCTTTGTTGAAAAAGCTATCTGGTTTGAAGAAGCACCGTTTTACTTGGGAGGGAGCAGTCCTGCTGTAGTCCTAGGAAAATTCTAGAAGAATGTTTCAACGCAGTTATTTTCTCCTTGACATCTCACCTGCCAGTTCTGACAACTAAAAAAAAAATCAGGGCTGAGAAACCTTATAATCCTTCTCTTTAAATTTTAGCTGGTCCTCATTAAAAGAAACCATGATGCTCTTTGAAGAAGGGACCGGACTGAAAAGCTGTGGGCATTGATAGAAAAGTCAGCAGTTAATGCACTGAAAACTTTGCTCCAAGTCCCCTGGTAAATGTTTATGAACAGTATTTGAAAACTCATTTGTGTAGTTGGTTTAAATATTCCTTCCTGATTCTTTCCCACACTCCACAGGCAGACTCGGACTTCCATTCTCTGATCTTGACAAGACTCCTGAACTTTGTAACATTTGCTGTTCTGTTTCACTTTTCCTTCTGGGTGTGTGTGATGTCCCAGACAAATTACTTCACTGCTCTGAGCCTCAGGTTTTTCTTCCATGAAAGTGGGACAGAAAAATTGCTGAAACTTGTCAAGGACTTAAAAGCATCCAGGTACCAAGGTAGGCAAGCTATAAACATACTCATCACATTTAAAATTCTGAGGGATCTCAGGAGACAGATATTATTATTTTTAATCTCTGCTTGTAGCTGAGAAAACTGAGATCCAGAAAGATTGAGTCACTTGATCCCGGTCACACATATAGTTCAGACTCTTAACCACTGATCTACACAACTATCTATCTAGCTTGATCATTCCACATCTCTTTGTCTTCTCCTCTTGACTTATTTTCCTAACATTGAGACTGACGCACAATATATAGCTGATAAGCATTTGTAAAATGAATGAAAGAAATGCTGATTACATTAACTATATGGGAGCCTGCTCCTCTTAGAATTAATCTGCTTATGATTTTGGTACCTCGCATAGTGTCAGCAGCCAAATCAAGCATGTGATACATCAATCTTTTAAAAGAAGATGTAAAAATATACTGATTTTTTTCCTTCTTATTTAAATTTTTTTAAAGAAACCTAGTTTTTAAAGGTCCTGGTACTTATAAAGAATTGGAGAAGGGCATGGCAACTCACTCCAGTATTGTTGCCTGGAGAATCCCATGGACAGAAGAGCCTGGTGGGCTACAGTCCATAGGATTGCAGAGTCAGACATGATGGAAGCGACTTAGCACCACTTATAAAGACTATCTGGCCATTAAGAGAAGTTTAATTCTATGTTAACATTTAGCAGACTTAATAGTGTTCATACCATCCCTACCACACTAGTTTTTAAGTCCTCTAGGGCAGAGATTGCATCTTATTTCTAGCTGTGCCTCCAGCTCTACGACCAGTATATGGCATATGCCAAATGGTTTGTGACCTGAATAGGCCTGGGAAAATTTCTTTAATATGGGATTGCCAGTAAAGATTTAATTTATTTTTAAAATATATTTATTTTATGTTAGTGAAATGGACTCCAAACAATAAATACAGTGTCACTTGCGTGTCTGTGTGTTAAGTCACTTTAGTCATGTCCGACTCTTTGTGATGATATGGACTATAGCCCATCAGGCTCCACAGTCCATGGGATTCTCCAGGCAAGAATACTGGAATGGGTTGCCATGTCCTCCTCCAGGGGATCTTCCCGACCCAGGGATCAAATCCAGGTCTCTTATGTCTCCTGTATTGGCAGGCAGGTTCTTTACCACTAGCACGACCTGGGAAGCCCCCAGATTTGCTTTTAAAAAAATATTTGTCACAGCCTGTAGCACGTGGGATTTTAGTTCTGTAATGAAGGATGGAATCCACGCCCCCTGCAACAGAAGCATGGAGTTGTAACCACTGGACCACCAGGAAAGTCCCAGATCCCTTTGTTCACATTTGTCTCTCATCCTCTGATACTTGTGCAGATTTTTAAAACTGAGTCCTGTACTTTTGGGATCAAATCTAAAACATGACCCATTCTCCATTGCCAGTGGTCAGGTGGAACATGAGGCTAATGAAAGCACTGAATATCCAATAGACCTGAAATCTGGTTTTTATACACTATTGATTACAGAAGCTGATCCACTAATTCAGAAATTAATAAGTTTACAGACATGGAATATGCAATTCCTAAGAATTCTTTGCTGTATGTTTTAACAGCCAGTAAACTGGAAGTGTTTGTGATAACGAAAAGAAGAATAAATAAACTCAATTTTGTAGCGTGTTGAGGAAATATATGTCTCATGTGTCATGATGCTTTGTAGACAGTTACAGCTTCCAGGGAAAGGAACTAATCTTCCAAATGCTAACAACAGCTTTGAGGATGATTGTATCAGCCATGAAAATAAGCATTGGCCCATGTGCTCCCAGGTTGCCAAAAATAAATCAGGGTGGGCTAATCAGATTCAGTCAGTGGAACTAATGAGAAGAAGGCAGCAGGCCAAGTGCGATCTAGGCAGTGAGCCTAAAAGAAATGTCATCTATGCTATTTCTTTCTTCTCTGTCCTCTTTGCTCCAGCTTTTCCTGGAATCTATATTCAGGAGAAAATTCTGAATGTATGCTGCAGGCATGCTATCCTTGCTGAGAAGCAGGGCCAGAAAGAAGTGTTAGAAATAATCAAAATGGATCTGGTACACTTAGGCAAAGCCAATGCTGATTTATTTGGTGGCTAGAAAGATATTTAAAACTTTTCTTTTTTCCTTCGGAGACTGGTAATGCTATTGCTTGACTCTACAGTAAAAATATTTTCACTGAAGTGTCCTTTGCAGAACAAAGTTTAATATAGGAATTTCTCTGGTCCAGCACCCTCATTTCACACTTGAGAGAACAGTGGTGCAAATGTCAGGCAGATAGTCGATGTCAGAACAAGGTCTGGGATCCACACATTCTGGTGCCCCTTGGTATTCCTCTTTTCCTGAACTAGAGGTACCTGGCTTGAGGCAGCAAAAAGGGGCCTGGGGGCTTGGCTTCAGCAAGGAAGGGGAGCCCAGGAGCCTGCTACCTGTTCCATAGCCAGTCTTGGGAGAGAAAAGCTACTGGAAATAGAGTGGGCAGCACTAAAGAGGAGAAAAACAATGGGGGATGAATCCCCTGGGATATGGGATAAGGATGTGACCTGGCCACAGGTCTGGACCCATCAGAAGTCCAAGCATCTCTTCTAGCATCCTTGACAAAAGTAGCAACTGTGCTGCATTGACCCGCCTCTCTGTCCCTTGATCTGGACGAAGCTTTGCACTGAGCATTATTATATATATTAAAAAGCTGAGACATGACATTGCCAACAAAGGCCCATCTAGTCAAAGCTATGGTTTTTCCAGTAGTCATGTATGGATGTGAGAGTTGGAGCATAAAGAAAGCTGAGCACCGAAGAACTGATGCTTTTGAACTGTGGTGCTGGAGAAGACTCTTGAGAGTCCCTTGGACTACAAGGAGATCCAACCAGTCCATCCTAAAGGAGATCAGTCCTGGGTGTTCATTGGAAGGACTGATGCTGAAGCTGAAGCTCCAGTACTTTGGCCACCTGATATGAAGAGCTGACTCATAGCAAAAGACCCTGATGCTGGGAAAGATTGAAGGTGGGAGGAGAAGGGGACAACAGAGGATAAGATGGTTGGATGGCCTTAGCAACTCAATCGATTTGAGTTTGAGCAAGCTCCGGGAGTTTCTGATGGACAGGGAAGCCTGGTGTGCTGCAGTCTATGGGGTTGTAAAGAGTTGGACATGACTGAGCAACTGAACTTAACTGATACATATATGTATATACATACATATGTATATTTTCCTTTTATTCCTTACAACCATCTTTAGAAGTGTTATTGGTACTTCCCTAGTGGTCCAGTGGTTAAAAATCCACTTGACAATGCAGGGGACAAGGGTTCGATCCCTGGCCTGGGAAGATCTCATGCTGTGGAACAGCTCAACCTGTGTGCCATAACTACTGAGCCTGCATTCTAGAACCTGTGAGCTGCAACCAATGAAGCCACCACAACGAAAACCCCCAGCAACACAGGAAAGAGTAGCCCCCACTTGCCGCAACCATAGAAAGCCCAAGTGCAGTCAAAAATAAATAAATAAGTAAATAGCTAATTAAAAAGGAAATCAGTGTTATTATTCCTATTTTACTCAGAGAGATTAAATAATTTCCTTAAGAACACAGCAATGGACTTGGAATCAGAGGGTCTGAATTTCTATTCTTTTTGGGCAGAGTATTACCCTTGTGAACTTGGGAACTCCCAGGGATCTCTTAACTGTAGCTTCTTAATATATAAAATAGGGATAATTCCTGTAACTCATGGGATTTTTGTAAGGGTTAGATGGCTTTTACAAAAGTGCTAAAAGTGTAAAATCAATTAATATTAGCTATATTTCAAAAATTACTGTGTTCATCAACTATACTCCTATATAAAGTAAAACTTAACGAAATCAAACTGTACACTTTAAATATATACAATTTGTATCTGTTAATTATACCTCAATAAAGATGGTAAAAATAACCACCCATGACTGACTAAGCAAAATAGAGACATCTACTTTATAATTATTATTCCATTCCATTAAAGAGGAAAATGCAAGCTTCAAAAAATTTTAAAGTTGTAGTTAACATCATGGACTAAAATTTTCCCAATAAGTTACCAAAAAAAAAAAAAAGGAATATCTTGGAATGTTCCTGATGGTATTCTCTTGCATGATATAAACTTTTCATTCACTGGCTTTTC